ACTTTGAAAATTTTGATGCCAGCATAGTACACAACAGTTTTCTGAAAGCATGAAGGGATGGAAAGTTGGTACTTGCTCCTTGTGTCAAGAGTGTGTACAGCTGAATTAGTCTGGAATTGCTCTTGATTATTTATGAAGTTCATTAATGAAAATATGTATTTGCATGGAAGGGGTACGTGGTAGCATAGTTGGCTGAGGCACTATCCTACAAGCCAGAAGGTCATGGGCTCGATTCCCAATGAGGTGGATTTTTTCAATTTACCCAATCCTTCTAGCTGCACTAGGGCCCTGGGGTCAACTCAGTCTCTAACAGAAATGAGTACCAGGAATTCTCCTGGGGGTAAAAGGCAGCCAGCACGTAAAGCTGACAACCTCACTGCCATCTAGAAGATGGGGGATACTCAACCTCTGGCAACCCTATGGGCCTTCACGGTCTGTTACAGGGATAACTTCAGCTTTTATTACCTTTACCTTTATGTTTCCAGGTGGATAAGGTAAGACGTCTAATCTTTTAAGCAGACCTCTACGTGAATTCCTAGGTTTGACATCTGTCACAATTCTAACAATTTTATTTTGTAATATAAATACTTCTTTGCTGTTAGATGAACTACCTGGAAAATTATTCCATACTTCATTATAAAGTGAAAGTTGGCAATATAAACTGATTTGAGTTTCAGTGTTGCTGATATATAACACAGGTCTAACTGCATAGCATGCTCCACTTAACACATGAATCGTCTCATAAATATGATTTTCCAACTTACTTGGTTATCAGTTTGTAAGTAAAAAGTAAAGTTGTTCATGTGCTTAATTAAATATGCACCATGCCATGAAGACATATGAGGAGTGGAGGTATAACTCCACTATTCTGACCTTGGCACTAGATGGAGGTGAGTGGTCAGCTTCATGCCTCTGCCGCTTTACACCAGGGAAAGAGAACCTGGTACCCACTGGACAGATTAGGTGAGCCCTAGAGCTGGTCTGGACATTATGGAGAACAAAAAAATCTCTTGCCCTTGCTGGGTATTGAACCCTAACCACCTATCCCATTGGTAAATTGACTGAGCTAACCCAGCTCTTTATTAATTTGTTAGTCAAAGTAGATGCAAGTAAAGAGGTTGGTCTAGAAGTAAACACAGAGAAAACTACGTATATGTTGCTGTCTCATCACCAAAATGCAGGGCAAAATCATGATATAAAGATAGGAAACAGATGTTTTGAAAATGTGGCACAGTTCAGATATTTGGGAACAATGACAACAAATCAAAACCTCATTCAGGAGGAAATTAAGATGGTTCCAAGCTAACCAATTAATACTAAATTTAAAAAAAAAACCCATGTAATGAAATTTATGACCCCTAAGGCCACAGACTATCCATTACATATAAATTATAATGATCAAACGCTTAAATTTTCTGTAAATGTTAAGTTTTAGGTGTGTGCCTGGACAATCATTTGGGCTGGGAAAAATACTCTAATGAAGTGATAAATAAGTTAAGTGTTGCAACCTTTGTGCTTAAAAAACTACAGCCTATAGTAAGTAGGCAAGTGTTGAAAATGGCTTATTGTGCTTACTGTCAAGCTCAACTTAAATATGGTGTTATTTTCTGGGGCTCTTCTTTGTCATCAATGAAAAGAGTTTTTGTAGCTCAGAAGAAAATTGCTTATTGTGCTTACTGTCAAGCTCAACTTAAATATGGTGTTATTTTCTGCAGCTCTTCTTTGTCATCAATGAAAAGAGTTTTTGTAGGTCAGAAAAGAGAAATTAGAGCAATGTTAATGAGGAGACCTAGAAGTTCTTGTAGAGAGGTTTTTAGAGAATTAGGGATACTTACAGTTCCCTGTTTGTTTATATATGCCATGGTCATGTTTGTAATTGAAAACAAAAATAATTATCTTACAAATAATAGTGTACATAAAATTAACATTAGAATACAAACTAGACTACACGTCACGTCAGCTAGACTATCCATTGTACAAAAGGGAGTGTATTATACAACCATAAAAATTATTATTTTGCCACATAAATTATATATTTAAAAGGATAATGTTAATTTATTTAAATGAAAACTGAAAGACTTTCTTATCTTGAAAGCTTTCTATTCTATTGATGAATATATGGCAAATACCTAATTGTATTATATTTCTATTGTATCTAGGTTGTTACTATTTGGACTTGGTTGCATATCGCAACTACTTTTAATTAATCTGACGAGCTCAATATCCAGCCCAATATGGGCAACGGATCTGTAAAGCTATGTATGTATGTATGTATGTAAGAGGAGACTGAACTCAGGTAATGCTTGCTACCATTCAGTCCAGAACCCTTTGTCTTCTCATCTGCTGTCCAAAAACATAAAAATTAGAATATACAAAACTATAATTTTGCCTGTTGTTCTGTATGGGTGTGAAACTTGGTCTCTGACATTAAGGGAGGATCATGGACTGAGAGTGTTTGAGAACAGTGTGTTGAGAAGAATATTTGGACGAAGGGAGATGAAGTGACAGGAGGTTGGAGGAAACTGCACAATGAGGAGCTTCATAACTTGTACTCTTCTCCAAGTATAATTAGAATGATTAAGTCAAGGAGGATGAGGTGGGCTGGGCATGTAGCACAAATGGGGGAGCCAAGGAATGCATATAGGATATTGGTGGGAAAGCCAGAAGGACCAAGGCGTAGGTGGGTAGACAATATTAAAATGAATCTTAGAGAGATAGGATGGGATGGCATGGATTGGACTGATCTGGCTCAGGATAGGGGCCAGTGGAGGGCTCTTGTGAACATGGTAACGAACCTTCAGGTTCCATAAAACGCTGGGAAATTCTTGAGTAGCTGCAGAATTGGCAGCTCCTCCAGAAGGGCTCAGCTCCATGAGTAAGTAAGTATGTTTGTGCTTACTGACTAGTCTATATATATTTATGACCATATCAAATGAAGAATGGATATTTTGGTGAATTATTTGACATAACTTTAATTATATTTAATTATATTAATTTGTAAATTATGGTTATTTGATGCTTTTGTTTGTGTGTGGTTGTTTGCTGTTGACAAGTTTGTACTTCTACAATCAAGTCTTATTTTGATGAGTTCAATATCCGGTCCAATTTGGGCAATGGATCAGTGAATTTATGAACTGTGTATGTATGTATGTATGTATGTAACCCAATGAGAACCAGTCTGTTAGCAGCAAACTGCTTACTCATATGAGAGAACTCTGCTTGACAATATACAGAAATAAAAAAATGTTTACTAGACATTGTGACACTAGTCTCATTTGCATATATTAGTTACTGATGAGCTCTTTTATTATCAGGGGAAGGTCATTTTATACAAATCATGAAACACAAAGACTAGGGAATTGACTCTTGGGGAACTCCATGTTTTATTATTCCCAAGAATGAGTAGGAATTTTGGGTTGCATTAGATGACTGCATTTTTATCTTTTGTTCCTTGAATACCAAAAAAAATGTTAGTTAGCAAGATATAATGATTTACACAGTCAAAGCATTTCTTCTAAATCACAGAATAACCCTCCAACAAGGCTTTTTAGTTAATAGCTTCTAATACAGTGTCTGTTAGTGTTTCCATTGGATATTCCTTTCCTGAAGCTAAACTTATCTGGGACTAGTATGTTTCTAGTCTGCAAATAATGGTTTAACCTACTGTACTTAGCTTTCTTGAGTACTTTGGAAAATGCAGGTAACAGCAAAATTGTCCTATGGTTTGTTATACTATTTACTGTCACAAACAAGCTTCATACAGTCAGGGAAGATACCTGTGAAAAGTGGGCAATTACAAATTTAAGTTAATGGACGACTAGATGCATAAGCTTTCATAATTTTACTTGTTATTCCATCATCACCTGATGAGTGTTCTGATTTGATGATGTTTATATTAAAGATTTTTCTGGGAAATGTCTTTTTGCAATCAGACTGCATCATCTCTTTACGTAACTTCAGATATTCGATAATTCTTACGAATAAATTATTGAAGGCACTGACAACTGTTTCTGGATCCTCTACTTTTCACTGTTTATAAATACAAACGATAACCGTTAATTTAGAATTCTTCTGTCTCGTATTTTATTGTTTCGCGTTTTATTTCATTGTCTGATTTTGCTATAAGTCTACAGCAACGTTGCTCCTTCGCCTCTTTTATAACTCTGTTCAGGATTTTGCACTACTTAACGTAACATGCTCGTGTGATACGATCACTAAAACAATGTCAATAACTTAACCCTTTTATTACCGTCACTAACACTATATTTCGTTCTGGGTCGATGTGCTGACAAAAATCTTGTATTTCCTTTTTCTTTTCTTCAAAATCGGGTGGAGTTGAATGGATTAAGTAAAATTGTTCCCACTGAGAACCCATCTTCTTAACTTTAGGTTTTGCAATCGTCTTGCTGCACCATGCAATGTTTATCCATTGGCACACATTTTTTTGTAGAACTGTAAATAAATGAATGAATGAATGAACATACAAATTACACTAATTCACTACGCATGCTACATAATTTAGGATCGACAAAATAAAAAATGTAAAAAGTCTGCATACATTCCTACATGAAACACCGTGTCAAACTACTGCCGAGAGTTTTCGAGCGAGATCGACATTTCCCTTTCGATGGACGTGTTACCAACATGAAAATGATGTACGGAGGGAAGAAGTGTATATACAAACGTGTTCCAGAAATAGGTTAAGAATAGATACGGATATGCAGATATACAAAAATAGAGTTGACACGTGGTCTTTAACTAGAATATTCTAGGCAAAGGGATTCGGGACCGTTCGGGACAATAAAGAGGACCCGAGACTAATAGTGTGCAGTTCAGAATTAATTTCGAAGGCGTGAGTGCCAATGCTAGTGAATTGAGCTTCAGTTATGGAAAAGAATCATACAGCAGGTGACAGTGAGACTGTTTTCAGTCCACAGTCATGGAAGGAGAAAGGTAATATAGCTTTTAAAGACGGTGATTGGGATGAAGCGTACAAATGTTACACCAGAGCTATTAAGCAGACAAAAGAAGATTCAGCAGAAAAAGCAGTGTATTACAAAAACCGAGCAGCAGTACAGCTCAAGAGAAACAAATACAGTGAAGCCTGCAGTGACTGTACTTCCGCACTTGAAATAGTAGCCAGTGATCCAAAGGCATTGTTCAGACGATGTCAGGCCCTTGAAGCACTAGAGAAATTTGAGGAAGCGTACCGTGATGCCAGGCAAATCCACACTGTTGATCCTGGGAACAAGGCTGTTCAACCAATTCTGGAAAGACTCCATCAGATTGTTCAGGACCGCATGCAACAGAATGCACAGTCAACTAACAAAGTGGCACAAATGTGTAAGTATGCATTTGATATGGGAGAGGAGAAAGAAAAACGGGTTACTGCTACGAACAACTTGCTGGTGCTGGCACGTGAGAAGGCAGGTGCTGAAATTATGTATAATAGTGGTATTGTACAGAAAATCAGTAGTCTACTCAAAGTTGAGAAGGATAAGGAAATATTTTTGAGTGGTGTGAGAATAGTGGGTGAACTGTGTAAGAACAGTGTAGAGAGGACAAAAGGTGTGCTTCAGGAAGTTGGTGTACCATGGTTCCTAGATATTCTGAATTGCAGGGAGGAAGTGCAAGTGAATGCAGCTCAGTATTGTATGCAAACCATTCTCAATAGTCTAAGTGGAATGGAAAACAAACCAGACTCTATGCCCAAGCCAGAGCTTTGTGCAGAGAACAAAAAGGAAATAGACACCTTGCTCACTTGCTTTGTATATGCAACAACCAGTCGTACTATCTCAGGATTGGCTCGGGATGCTCTCATGGAACTCATAACTCGCAATATTCACTATTCTGCATTGAACTGGGCTGAGCGTCTGATTGAAATCCGTGGCTTGCACCGGCTCATGGAGGTTGCCAGTGAGTTAGAAGAATACAAATATGAGTCTGCTATGGAAATCACACCATCTACACGAACTATTTCATCAGTTTGCCTTGCCCGTATCTATGAGAATATGTACTATGACCAGGCCCGTACACGATTCCTCAACAGTGTGGATGATTACATTAAAGATAAGCTCATGTCACCATGCATAGAGTCAAAGGTGCGTGTAGTGGTAGCACTGACAACTCTTCTGTTAGGACCACTTGAAGTGGGAAATACGATTGTATCTCGGGAGGGAATTTTGGAAATGATTCTTGTTATGGCTGGTACAGACGATGTTCTGCAACAAAAGGTAGCCTGTGAGTGTATAATTGCAATAGCTTCCAAAAAAGATAAAGTGCGTGGCATCATTAGTCATGGTGTTGACATCTTAAAAAAACTTTATCAATCTAAGAATGACAGTATTCGTGTTCGGGCTCTGGTTGGTTTATGTAAGCTCGGCAGTAGCGGAGGCACTGATGCTTCCATACGCCCATTTGCTGATGGTTCTACAAGTAAGTTGGCTGAAGCTTGTCGTAGATTCTTGACTAACCCTGCCAAGGACCGTGATATGCGACGTTGGGCTGTGGAGGGTCTTTCATATCTTACCTTGGATGCTGAAGTAAAGGAGAAGCTGGTAGAAGACAAAGATGCTCTTCGTGCTATGATTGAACTAGCCAAGACTGGCGATCAGTCTGTAGTGTATGGATGTGTAACAACACTTGTTAACTTGGCCAATGCTTACGAAAAACAGGAAGTGATCCCAGAGATGGTAGAGCTTGCAAAATTTGCAAAACACCATATCCCAGAAGAACATGAACTAGATGATCCAGATTTTGTAACTAAGAGACTTGAGATTCTGGCAAAGGAGGGCGTTACAAGTGCATTAGTGGTTCTGTCTAAAACTGACAGTCAGAATACAAAGGAACTGATTTCCAGAGTGTTTAATGCAATATGCTGTCAGAAGGAGTTGAGGGGATTGGTGGTACAACAGGGTGGAGCAAAGGTGTTACTTCCGATGGCTTTGGACGGAACTGAGAAGGGGAAGAAGCAAGCTGCACAGGGTCTTGCACGTATTGGGATTACCATTAATCCTGAGGTTGCGTTTCCTGGACAACGAAGTGCTGAAGTTATACGTCCACTTCTGTCTCTACTGTCACTAGATTGTAGTGCCCTAGAGAATTTTGAAGCTCTTATGGCACTGTGCAACTTAGCAGGGGTCAATGAAACCATCAGAAAAAGAATAGTTAAGGAAGGTGGTGTATCCAAAATAGAAACTTACATGTATGAACAACATGAAATGTTAAGAAGGGCTGCCACACAGGTGATGACTAACCTTATCATGTCTCCTGAGGTTGTGAAATCGTATGAAGGGAACAATGATCGTACAAAACTTCTGGTTCTCTTATGCAGTGAAGAGGATGAGGAAACAAGTATGGCTGCAGCTGGTGCCCTTGCCATTCTCACTTCTACTAGCAAAAAGGCATGTGAGAAAGTGTTTCAACCAGAAAGCTGGTTAGATATTTTACATCAGCTGCTGGCAAATCCTTCTAAAGACCTGCAGCACAGAGGAGTTGTAATTGTTTACAACATGATGCGTAGCTGCAAGGATGTTGCAGAGAAGCTCATTGCCACAGACATCATGGAGATCCTCATGGCTCTTTCCACCATTCAGGAGGAAGATAAAGAGAAAATACGAGAATATGCTGGAGAAGCACTGAAGGCAGCAGAAGAGTGGAAGCTCATCAAAAAGCCAGGTGAAGAAGAAGAAGAGGCAGAATAGTAGATTTGAAGTATTGGAGTATTAACAATGAAACAGTTCTTTTATATTAATTTACCGCTTGCTGTAACATTTTATTTTCACGAATCAACATGAGAGTATTATGCTGTAAATATTCTAGATCTCAACCAAGAAGTGTTCACCCAATATGTCAAAAGGAAGGTGCAATGCCTTCACTTCAGTGTCTGCTTTNCCCCCCCCACCCCTCAACTGTTATGTTACTTACCACCTAAGTATCAGAATCCATATCTAGGACTTAAAAGCCACATCTTTTGAAACTGCTACAGTTTTTAAAAAATCTTAGGTTGGTCATATTTAAAACTGATGCCTTGTTCATAATTTTATAGTTTGCCACACATACGTGGCATTACAGTCAGAAGTCTTTTTTTTTTCATTGTGATATTGTGATGAATAAATGTAGATTAACCACAAAGAAATGCAGAATACATGCAATTACATTTGCATCTTCACAAAAACTGTGTTAAATCTGGTGAAAATCTAATGTTTAGCATCCTGCGATGGACGTAAAACTTCTTGTATTCAAGCAAGATATATTCACCCACAATATGGACTCAGAATGTAGAGTCTTACATAAGGGGCATGACCCCATCATATGGTACAGAGTTGGTATCCTTATAACCTAGGGCTATTTGGTGTAGGGTCACTTGTTGTGACATTTAAATTTACTGTAACCTGGTAGTGTGAGACCATTTCAGCTTTCATTTGTTGTAATACTTTCTAATATATTAAGAAATAACAAGTCTCAGTGTATATTTCTGGCATTTACAGTGGAACTGTCTTAAAATATTTTTTAAAAGAAAAATCAAGCTTATGAACCAGAACACTTCCTGAAAGAAGATTATATAAAATGTATAAGGACTTTTTTCATTTGCTTTGAGGTTCACTTCACTGATGTCATAATAAAACCATTAATGAGTTTATTACAGTTGGAGTTCATCAGTGACATTGAATACCTATTACATGTTATCTATTGTACATTGTTATGACTAGACAATAAGTGTTTTTATAAAGGCAGAACTGTATGGGTTTGAATCTGTTGTCTAGTTGTGGTTCCTGGTAGTCAGAGTGTTGGGGTGAGTCTAACATTCTGGCCGCCAGGAATCACACTCAGTTGCAGAGCTTGTTTTCAACACTCCAGAACGCAAATATGAGACAACAAAAATGACTTAGCGCAACCATAATCAAAGGATGCAGTGACGACCTAAATTTGTGAAGGTAAGATTTAAGGTTTTCACAGTGGTGACTATGAAGAATTCTGTCTTCAGGGATATGGCGTTGTGTAGATCTTGTGTGAACCAACGTTCCTCCAAAATGTCAGTTCACACAAGATCTACACAGCACCACATCCCAGAAGACGGAATTCTTCTAAATTTGTGAATTTTAACCTAATATTGGCTTTAATATATTATAGACATTTATGACAGATTTTAAATCCGTGTTCATATGCATATGCACAGCAGTGTTTCTTCTTAATGAGTACACCAGAGGATGGTCTCATGAAACTGAAACATGCTGGAGTATTAACGTAAATAGACAAGACTTACCTGGATGGTAATTTCCAGTTGACTTCAGTATAGATAGTATATCAGAAAAATAAACCATATAAAAATAATAAAATATGTATTAGTGCTCTCAAGTAAGTTCTGTTGGTTTCACTTTTAATCATATTCTTGTTTTTTGCACACATTAATAACTGTTATGTCCCAAAACTGTTCTTATACTGGATTTTGGAAATATAATTCCCGTGGAATTTAACTTATTTCAGAGATCAAAACAAACTCTGTGGTCTAGTCTGCAAGCGAACTATACTGATAGAGCAACAGCTGCTTGTCAGCGAAGTTAGTGCCAACTTTTGCGGATAAAGGGTGTCGCATGGTCAGCGCAGCGGATCCCCATGACCGTTAATCTCAGTTTTCTAGACTGGAGCTGCAATTTCCTTTAAATAGCTTTTCAGTTATCTTCATGAGGCTGAGTGGACCCCATTTCAGACCCACTACTTCTCAGTAAATCTGGTAGCGTCAGGAATCGAACCTGGAACCTCTGAATCTGTAGCCAACAACTCTGACCACTAGACCACAGGCGGTCCTCTGATATTTAATTTTTGAGATTTCACCAGCTTCTCATGGAGTACTCTGGAATATTGTGGTTACCTCTTAGAACATGGTGATAACTCACCAAATAAGTTATTGCTTCATGGCACGTTGCAATTGGGCTGTATTTTTCAGCAGCTGGAATAGCTGAATTATCATCTGACCACAACAGTTTATCTTTATGTGACAGAAGACTATCATCAGCATGGACAGAGTCCTGACACTATTGATGTTTGGTATCTTTTGAAGGTTGGAATGTGTGTTGCTACTTAGTCCTCCACTGTGTCACTCTGTTCATCTGGTCTTTTTAAAACAGCAAATGTAGAAGACAAAAAGGTAAAGTCCCTGTGCTATCCTGGCTCCATAAAACAGTAACTGTTTCCTCACCAAATACCACATCTCTGCATGCATTAAAACACCATCCAGAAAAGACAATCAGTCATTGAGTATAACTGAGTTCTGCAGCAATCTCAAAACATGAGGAGGCCTAATAATGCTTTGATCCATAGAATGGAGTACAGAGGTTTTGTGTGGTCTTAACAGTCTCTGAAATCATACATTGGGAATGTGTTGATGGATTTCCTTTTTCTCATCTTTCTGTTGGCAATAACAACTACATATATAGTGCAGGTGTTGTCTACATTAAATTAATCAGACATAAGCTCAAAATTTCACAGTCACCATGTTTATAATTCTTGACTGATTAACATTTCATACAGAATTTGACCCTATGATTCACCAGTTACCACCACCAAACTGAAAGCTAAATAGATACTTCATGCTGCTACACCTTTGCTCTTTGAGTTAAAAAAAAGAAGTTCCACATATTTCACAATCTGCTACCACACAGTCAGGTTCCCTATATAGTGGCATTAGCATCATTCCCACCTCACAAGTTTGTGCACCTGTCATAGCCACACTGTTATTAATGACTTTAATACATGAATATCTATGAGTCTTTAACAAACTGTGTTTCAAAATGTCAAGTGGGGCATTACACAGAAATGACATAATCTCATAAGCTTACTTTCTTTGATTTGTTTCATTCTGGTCCATCACATGTAAGGGCATAAATAAGTGAAATAAGAAAAATCTTCACCAGTCACACTAGATGAAACTGTTCAACTTGTCATGACTTACTTTCTTTCCTTACAAAGGGAAAGAAAGTTATATCACAACAGTAATCAAGAAACTATAAATGTGGTTTTGGATGTCACTGTAGTCTCGTGAGAAAGCAACTAATTTTTTATCTACATACAGACAAGTATTTCAGCTGGCACGCTTTGAATACAAATGGAAATATGTGACTGGCAAGGGATTATAGTATAGAGTGGGGCACAGAAACTTCCTTTTTTTAAAGGCAAATAAAAGAAAAATTATTGCTGATAGATAAAAATTATGTTTAGCTAATAAAAGAACATACTTTAAAGTTTTAAACCATGTAGTTTGAAACAAAATATCTTTAAGGTGGTGGCCACCGTTTTCTGAAGTTCCCCTCTGCACGTTCCAACACCAGAATTTGGGCTACTTCCTGCCGAATAACATTCTTCAGCTGAAGCAGGTTTGTGGGGCGATGTTTAAAAACCTCTGCCTTGAGGTATCCCCATAAAAAATCACAGGGCGTTAGATCAGGTGAGTGCACTGCGCACGGGACGTCACCTCAAAGCGAGATGAGCCGTCTTTGCCCTCAAAACTGTCATCGAAGCTTGGGCTGCGTGAGCCATGGCACCATCCTGTAGGAACCACACGTTTCCTAGATGCATTTCTTCAAGAGCTGGTTCGAAAAAGTTTTTAATCATGTCCACATATCGCTATGAATTGACAGTAACTGCATGATTGTCTTCTTCAAAAAAGTAAGGGCCAATAACTCCAACTCTTGACAACACACACTGTACTGTCACCTAATCACTGTGAAGTGGCCTCTCATGGAGCTCTCTGGGATTGTTACCACTCCAATAGCGCATATTCTGCTTGTTGACATATCCGGATAGGTGAAAATGTGCCTCATCACTAAAGAAAACAAATGCGTCAGGGGGTAAAGTTTCTAATAACGTTTCGCACGCTGTTATTCGGTTCTGGAAATCACGTGGTGACAATTCTTGCACAACAACCATCTTATAGGTATGGAAATGAAGATTTTCGTGAAGAATTCAGCGCACTGCGATTGGATGTCTAGGGTGACTGCATGTTTGCGAGCGACTGTCTTGGAGATCTCAAAATCAACTGTCGAACTGCTTCCACATTTTCTGGCATCGTAACGGTCTGTTGTCCTGATGATTTTTTCACCACACTCCTGGTTGTCCTAAAGTTCTCTACCCACAAAACAATCGATTTCCGGTTGGGAACTGGACCTCTGGGCTTAATTCCGAAGTGAGTACGGAATGCACACTGCACCACCACATAGGAATGGTTGTTCGAAAAATAGGCTTCAACAGCAAACGCATGCTGCTCACTCGTCCACCTCATGTTTCCTACTGAGTGGTATTAGAAACTTCTGCAACTGCTGCATTCGCCAGCCTATCCCCACTTTTCTGCGACCTCCCCTCCCTTCACAATGCGTCTTCAAAAAACAGAAGTTTCTGCGCCACACCCTGTACTATAATTTTCAACATTAAAAATAGATAAAAGTTATCCCTGTGCTTAATTAATTAAGCACTGTGCCATGACGACTTATGGGGGAGTGGAGGTATAGCTCCACTGTACTTGACCTCAGTACTAGATGAAGGTGAGTAGTCAGCTTCACACCCCTGCTGCTTTACCCCCCTTAGGGAAAGAGCCCCCTCCACCCACTAGATTGGAGGCCAGATAGGCCACTGTAGAGATGAGAAAAATATTGTCACTGTCAAAATTCAAACCCCAGCCCATTACTATACTGACTCCCCAGAAATATAATTTTACGTGTTTTATATGGGTGTGAAACTTGTCCTTTCTTTCAGAGTGATGAAGTTTGATAAAATGCTAGAAAATATTTGAATCTTAGAGAGAGAGAGAATTAATAGGATGACGGAAAAAAGTACATAATTATGGCCTCTGAAATCTGTAGTCTTCATTAATACCATTCAAATGATGAAATCGATGAGGATGCAATGAGGAAGATATGGCAAGCTGAAGAAGGAATGCAAAATTTGTCTTAAAACCTGAAAATAAGATATTACTTGGTGGACTTAGGTTTACCTAGCAAGACATTAAAATGGACATACGGACTTGATTAGGCCAAAATGACTCAGTGCTGGGTCTGGTGGTTGGCTCTAGTAAACACAGTGGATGTTACAGTCCCACTAAAGGAAATTTCTTGAGCAGGTGGCTGATTATAAGGTTCCTTAACATAGATGATGCCACTCATATTAATTGAAATTAAACTTTATTTACATTCTGGAAGTATGGCAAGTACCTCCAAATTCCATAACCATACAATATTATTTGCACATCTATTACATATTTTCCTTTAAAACTGAGCTGTACTAGAATGTCAGTTTCCCTACCTGAAATACAATACACAATTACTACATTTCAGTCATATTTTGGTGCAGGGCTTTCAATTTTTGAGTAGTCTCTGACTGGAGAATAAAACTGAAAGAGAAAAGTAAACATGTTAATAATTAAACTGAAGATTATGTGTTAATAAACTGTATGTTAAAAAATATGATTTAATACAACAGAATTATGGCTAATAATGTCTAAAACTCTCTTACAATTGTATCGTGCCTTGAAGAGATCTTTTGACATATAATGCCATGTGGTTCACTGAAAATCAACTGGTGTTTCAGAGGAATACATCACCTCCACATTCAGGGTTGAAGATTTTGCCAAGTGTGAAACCAGCAGGAAACGAGTACCAAGCCTGCTACCAGCTTCAGGCTTGTTTCTCATGTGCGTATTCCACTGAAATATCAGTTGATTTTCAACATTACATGGCATTTGGTAGTGTAGTTGGTTGAGGCATTATGCTACAAGCTGGAACGTTGCAAGTTCATTTCCCGATGAGGTCACTGGATTTTTCAGTTAACCTAATTCTTTCAGTCGCATTATATCCCTGGGGTCGACTCAGCCTCTAACTGAAATAAGTACTATAAATCTTCTTGGGGGTGGAGAGTGGTCAGAATGTAAGGCTGACAACCTGACTACCAGGTGCGAGCCAATTGTCTAGAAAATGTGGAAGCTTTGATGTCGCACAACCCTATGGGCCTCTGTGGCCTGTTATAGTGATAGCTTTACCTTTCACCTTTTTACATGGCATTATATCCCAGAAGCCAGAACTCATCGTAATCATTATGAGAACCCCAAAACTTACTTTGTGTTGTTTGTTGGAATATTCATTCCAGGGTTCAGGGTTTGACTTCTTATTCCAAGACACTTCAGGGCTGCGAACAGCTAATCTCAAAGTATACAGCAATGCTCCACAGCATCCCAAGCCCACACACGCATAGAGAGGAATCAGCTGCAACAAATTTGCAACATTACAGAAACTTTCTAGTGTACGACACCAGCACATCATAATAAGAACATTACTTAGTCACTGCTATGTTACTATGGTGAACATGTACTGGAAGCTAAAACTACTAAGTTAATTGAAGAGATCTATTTTGTGGGACATCAGGAAATGCAGTCAGTTGAAAATCATCCCACATTTCGAACGAACGTACCACCTCCTGCTCTGCTTGCCACCTGCTTTCAAGCTGGTTTCTTGCTTCACTATTCTTTGGCCCTGAAGATGGAGGCAACATGTTCCTCCAAAACAGTGACTGACTTTCAACTGACCATAGTGTTATAACCCAGAAGATAGAAATCTTCATAATCACTGCTGTGGGAACCTCAAACCCTACACATTTATTTATTTATTTATAAGTTCCTTGGTCACCAAACTGGAAAATTTAAAGTGACATAAATCAGTTAAAACGAAATTAAGGTCAACATGCTTTGCAATGAGATCTGTTTTGCTTCTTGCTGATGTGTAACTTACAAAGATGGTGTATTTCTGACACACTTTCACCCAGTCGTATTATATGGTATGACTTGCTAAGAAAATTCAACTGCCAGGTATACAGTTTTCTTTTTGCAGAGGTAAATAATCATAAATGTGGTTTGTGTCCAAAGGAGTGAGTCATGTAAATGTTTATATCAGCAACTACATTAACACTTACTCCTGGGCATACCTTAATTTCAAAGCAGTAGTTCCCAGC